AAGCTGATTTTGTGGCTTCTCCCCTCCTGCCCCCCCCCCCAATTTCTTCTCCCTCCTATCACATGGCCAGACATCTTGATAGAGTGATAAGACTTGATGAACTTGACTCCTTTTTGTTTCAGTACTAATTCCAGATGACCTTCAAATATGGCTCCATGTAGATCCTACTCAGCCTAGCCCTATTTCCCTATATCAGCTACTGCTGGCCAATTTAACCTCCCCACTCCTACAGCTCACCCACTGAACTGTCTGACAAGGAACTCCTGAGTGTAGAGGTGACTAAGCTATTTTCCAGAATGCGTATGAGAGCTACCAGGAGAAGTGGGCACCCTGCAAAATCAACCTCTAGGGCAGCAACTATGTCAGGACAACTCAGAGCTCAATCATTTATTTAACCAAGCTTTTTAAAAGTGTCTACTATGTGCCAGGTTCTCTATTAAGCAATGAAGATACAAAGACAAAAATGAGATAATCCCTGACCTCAGGGACTTATATTCTACTGAAGAAAACAACATATACATAGATAAGTAGATACCAATACTATCCTGATGAGAAGAATGATATGATCAGAATTTTGTTTTAGGAATATCAGTTTGGCAGCTAGGTGGGAGATAGAGAGGAGAGGGTAGAGACTGGAGGCAGGGAGATTGATTAGGAGGCTCTTATAATAGTCCAGTTAAGAAGTGATAAGAGTCGGAACTAAGATGGTTGTGTTATGAGAGAAAGGAAAGAAAGGGATGGACACCAAGAGACAGAATCAATAAGACTTGGTGACTGATTGGATCTGGGAGATGTAGGAGTGGAGTAAAGGAAAGAGAATTCTGCCAGTTCACTCTTATTGTTCTCTGCTATGATACCCAAGCTTGAACTGCGTGTTTCCTACATGTAGCAGCAATTTGACATGGGTGAGCAGATGCTTGGATGCTTTCTGGCACAGCCTCATTGTAACAATTACTCATTTATCAACTAATTATTAATTATCCTTATAAGGGCTCTGGCCAACATGCCCCCTTCCAGATGACCAGTAGGCTGGTTCCTTGTTGCCACAGAACAGGTTGCATAGCACAAAGGCTTGAAAATTTAATCACGTTCAATTAACAGGCAAGGACTGGTTTGCCAGCTAGGGGAAAAATGCTGCAAATACTTTGAATTAAGCCATGTGTGTTAGATCTTGCTGGAGCATGCCGAGAATTTGCAGGCTCTGAAGGCAGCTCTTAATTAATTTCTGGAGCCAAGTAGAGCAATCTTGGGAAAGCTATTGCTTTTGCTAATCTGATCCAGCCTTATTCAGAGGGAGGAGCTACCTTGGAAATTGGAGGTCACTTGGGGTGGGGTGAATAGGGTGGAGTAAGAGGGCATGGAGAGAATTGTAACAAAACCTGGCTACGACAAGGATTGGCCAAGATGGCTGGGATGCAGGCACATCAAACCAGGAAGGTTCCTTGGAAATATCTAACAGCTTTCTTTGCTATCTGGTCTAAAGTCTCCTAGCAAGTGTGTGTGTGTGTGTGTGTGTGTGTGTGTGTGTGTGTGTGTGTGTGTGTGTGTGCGCGCGCGTTACCTGCTCTAATGTTCCATTAAGGCAAGTAGGTGACCCTGGTTTCTTGCAGTTACATTAATGGACACAAGTTATGGCAGGTCTGGTCAAGATGAAAGATTTAAAGTATGGGCCTAGTGATGTGTCCTATGTCTGAGGACCAGAATGTGTGTGTGTGTGTGTGTGTGTGTGTGTGTGTGTGTGAGAGAGAGAGAGAGAGGGAGAGAGAGAGAGAGAGAGACATTGTCTCTAGAAGGCCAATGTTAAAATACAGATATGTTTGAGGACTTCCTGCCATTAGCACTGTAGCATTAATTTATTTTTTCAGGTTAACTAGTTGTTAACAAATCAGAATTTGCTAGAGAGTGACAGAATGCAAAGACAGCAACTGATGCAGATGCCAACTTAGAGCCACTGAGTCCAGGATGAGTGAAATCCACCACAATGAATGAATGCATACATGAATGAATGAATTTAAAAGAATCTTTCAAGTGCTTACTATGTGCAAAACACTGTGCAAAGTGCTAGAGATAAAAATAGAAAAGTAAGGCTATTGTTTCTCTCAAGGAACACACATTCTAATAGGGAGAGATGACAAATGTAGAAGGTTTCAGCCTAAGTCATATGTTTTTGGAGTATAGCCATTGATGTGGGGTCAGTCATATGGACAATTAGGTTAATGCCACCTGGGAAGGAGCCATGTTAGCTAATTGGTGGTGTTACCAGACAATCTGGACTAATTTAAAGAAGATAACAGAGAAGTACAGCATCTTATTTGAGGAAAAGGTATAAACATGGCCAATTGCTAGAATCCATTCAGAGTCAACCACAGCAGTTTGGTAGAGTAGAAAGAACACTTGATTTTGACTCAGAGAACCTGAGTTCACATCCTAGTAATATTATTTTTTTTGTCTGTGTGACCTTGGACAAGTCACTTAAACTCTCTAGGTCTCAGTTTCCTCATTTGTAAAATGAAGAAGTTGGACTAGATATTCCTTAAGGTCTTCTCCAGCTCTAAATGTTATGATTAAATCATATTGCTGCTAAAGGAATTGAGAGCAGACATCAAGGAAAACTGGAGCAGAAGGGAGTTTGGGTCAAAATAACCAAGGAATTGGATAGGAATTTAAAGGGTGGGTCAGTGCTAAGATAAGTTATCCAGTTCTTCTGGTATCTGCCTGTGCCCAACCGAATACCTTAAAGGAGCCAGAACTCAATGACCTGGAATCTTGGCACCTTGGAAAGCCAAGGGGAGGATGGCATTCAGTATAAGCAAATTTTGGTGATTGATATAACAAACCCTATATGAAGGTATGGAGTAAGTGGGATGGGGTGACAATAGATTGTAAGCTCCTCAAGGACATTTTTCTATTTGTGTCTTCATAGCACCTAGCATGGTATCTTGTGTAGGTAGTTCAGTGGATATAGTGATGGACCTTGGGTCAGGAAGACCTGAGTTCAAATCCAGTCCCAGACACTTTCTAGCTGTACAACCCTGGACAAGTCACTTAACTTCTGTTTGCCTCAGTTTCCTAATATATAAAATGAAGATATTAATAGCACCTACCTCCCAGGGTTGCTATGATGAGCAAATGAGATAATATTTATTAAGTACTTTGCCAGTCTTAAAGTGCTATGTAAATGCTTGTGATGATAATGTGTTAATACCTGTCACACAAGAAACAGAATCCAAAATGAACCTTTCTTATTTCACAATTTTGTCTACAATAATAGCCCCATTGGGAATTTATCACCAAACTTTCCTAGAATTCTGGCAACTAGGTTATTGGGCATTAATGTGCCAAATATTAGGTATAAAGGAAGACGCTTGTGACTACCCAGATCTAGACTATGTCTTAGGGAAAGAGCAGAGAAGAGAAGAAGGTATTCTATGGGCACCTAATAGCATTTTCATTTTATAATCTCAGCAAGTCTTTATTGAATTAAATTGAATAGTATTTCTGTTAATAATAAGATAGTGTCTGAAAAAATTGATCAATAAACACTTATTGGGTTGCTTCTCTATACTATACATTGTGAGGATTAGAAAGGAATTGGAGGGACATTGCTCTAGCTTTCAAGGACCAAGTTTGGGGAAAGAAGACACAAGTATACACATGTAAAGGTCAGTCTCTGGCAAATACTTCTGTGTGACCCTGGTCAAGTCTCTTAATCTCTCAGTGTCCTAGGCAACTCTCTGAGAGTATAATTTGTAGAACACTTACTAATCTGCACTGGCAGAGTGAAGTTTCTTATTCCATTCTCTTATCCTAAGGAAATTATAGATCCTAGACTATGTCAGATTGCATATTCTAAATTGCTAAGTGCTAGATGAGAGGAAGAAGAGTGCCTTTTGTACTTTGGCAGGAAGGCTTCATAGAAGAGAAGGATTTTGAGCTGGGCCTTGTTCTGGCATGAATCCAATTTGATTTAATTCAACAAATATTTATTAAGTGTTTATTGTGAGCAAGGCACTATACTTGATCTTAGATATACAGAGATACAAATGAAATAGGCCCTGTCTTAAAAGACCCCACATTCTAGAGGCCATAGAGTATATTCTCAGTAACAAGTAGACATCTCATTGGCATGTTTTCAAAAGCAGCATTATCATTATTCTTTCTAGTTTTTCTGGAGGAAATGGGCAATGGTAGAAAGTTTCTTCAGCCTTTCTGAAAAACAGTTTGAAAAGCACTGTACCTATTTAATAAATCTTTAGGGGCAGCGAGGTGGCTCAGTGGATAGAGCACTGGTCCCGAAGTCAGGAGAACCTGAGTTTAAATCCAACCTCAGAAACTTCCTAGCTGTGTGACCCTGGGCAAGTCACTTAATTCCAATTGCCTCCAAAAATAAACAAACAGACAAATCTTTACAGAGCACCTATTTGGTTCCAATACTATAGAGAACTATGGTAAAAGACAGTCCCTGCTCCTAATCTAATTGGGAGCATGTGAAGCACTGTGAAAACACATATGAAACAAGTAGATGGTACTGCTAAATGCATTTCAGTACCACTCATTTCTAATTTGAAATGTTTTCTAAAAACCAATTTCAGATTATAAGGATTCAGGAACAGTGAGGGAGACAATAATCCAAGACACAACTGGTTTGCTTTGAAATTTGGAGGGGATTCTTGAAGATAACAAATTAGCTGCCTTCATTAGGGATGCCATTGTCTATTGTGATCTCTGAGCCCCTACACCCCACTGAAGTCAGGCAGGCTATGTGAATTTGGAGTCAGAATGGTATTTGAATTTTGGTCCTGTCATTTGCTACTTTTGTGGCCTTGGGCAAGTCACTGCTTTTGTGACCTTCCCTTCTCTGGACTTTATTTTCCTCATCTATAAAATGAAGGTATTGAATTAGATCCAATAACCTCCAATCTGTAGAACTGGAAAATCCGGTTATGTTGTGAACCTATTTATTTTGTACCAGCATGATATGACTTATATGCTTCTTACAGGTTTGGGGATTGATGTGCCTTGAAGACCCGGGTATTGCAATGCTCCAGCTACTCCAAAGGAGAGGAAAAATTGAGCTCTGCAATAGGGGTATGAATATTCAGTCACAGAAGCACTCAGCAACAGACCTAATTTTTATTTTTGACTTCAGAAAGCTCCAAAAATGAGATTGAAGCTGATAGTCTTCAATATAGCATTTGCTATTCTGGTCCCATAGTTCACCTGTCCTGGGAAGATAACAATACTCATAATGCCCATGAACTTACTTAGATTTAAATTTTCTATGTATTCTCTGGCTTTTCAGGTCCTGGCTTCACATATACTTTGTTACCATCACCCCTTGCCACCCCTAGACCCAACATAATGAGAGACTACCAACCGTTCACTTTTGCCAGAGATCTTGACTCTCTTCTCTACCTTATCTTTAATGAGAATTGCTATGACAAAGTAAAATTGACTGGTCTTTGTTTTACTTTTTCTCCCTGCTTTGTGACTGCTCTCATTAAGGATCCTATATAATTCTCAAATGGGATTATCAGTCTTTAAAAACTGATGAGTTGTCAAGCTTCTTGCCTTTGTTTTCTCCAAATAAAGACCTAAAAGTGCTGAGATGATTCATTAGTGGCCTTAAAAAGAAACCAAATCCATCCTACAAGGGACAGCAATCTGAGATTCACCCAGATGCAGGATGAGATAAATCTGCTACTTGTTATCTCAAAGGCAAGGTAGTAGGGTATAGAGTTGGTTTTCACACATATTTTCCTCAATGGGGATATCAGCTCAACCTCTTTTTTTCTTACTTTATCATCTCATCACATACTACTAAGCCAGGGGTATAACTTTGATGCAGTGTCTGGATTCTGTAGATGAAAGCAAAGGTTCTGAACTGAGTCACTCAATTCGGAGAGATAGGGACTATTTTGTTTGCATCACTGTGTATCTATTATCTAGCAAAGTGCTTTGCTCACAATAAACACTTATTAACACTTTGGCAGAAGACAAATTCTTCTTCTTTTATCCTTTCCAAGGGGAGTTGAGTAGTGCAAATATTATTATTCCCACATTATAGACAAGGAAGTTACGGCCCAGAAGGGTTATAATCCTAGTAAATACTTCTCTCTGGGTCTTAATTTACTCATCTCTAAAAAGGAGAGCATTAGACTAGATAATCTCTAAAGTCCTAATCCCTCTCTGCTAACACTATCTGTGTGGCCTTATGCATGTTGCTTAACTTTCCTGAAATTCAGTTTTTTTATTCATAAAAATGAGGACAATAATATCTGTAGTATGTGTTTTACAATGTTCTTATGAAAATCAAATTGCTTTGTAAACCACAAAAAAAGCTATATCTGGATTAGCTGTTATATTGATATTTATAGAAATGAGATTAGAGCCTGAAGGAAACTCAAAACATATCTAGGCTGACCCTCTAATCTTAGGGATGAGGAAAATGAGGCTCAGTGAAGTTGAGACTTGCCTACGGTCACACAAATAGTAACTATCAGAGACTGGATTTGAACCAGGTTCTCTGATTTCAGAGGAAAGAGTTAATTCCATTATTATTAAGTTTCCTCCAACAACTACACTTTATTATTATAATTATCATTTTTATGAGTGTTATCATTATTATTATTCATAAGACTCACATTCCACTCATTCTGGACTTCTTACGAGTTATTGAGTTTTATAAAGGGAGCTAATATATAGTTCAAGGCCCCTATGCTGCTAATAAACAAGGGAGGAACTACAAATAAAATAGGAAAGTATTTACTTGAGAAAGAATAGCAAAGCAAGTAATAGGAAAAAGTCAAGCAATAAAATAATTCTTAGTCCCCTACACCCATATACATATAACCTCCCATAGGTTCACACACTGGTGGGGAAGGGTTTAGGACTTCCTCCCTAAGCAAATCCCCAGAGAAATCACTCTATGAGGTGCAGGAGGGCTGAAGTTTATGTAGTGGCTGACAAGGATTATATTCTGTTCCAAATCTTCTTGTCTCTCCTCAAGTCTGCCTGCAGCACCCAGAATCATTCACCCTCAAAACAAAAGGGCATATAAATTCATTTAGCATAAGGGTGGAGAAGTGGTTACTGATTACAAGTCCCTTTGATGAAAAGATGCTTCATTTTCATTGGTATCTTGGGAAGCTGCCTAAGAAGTTGGTTGTTTGGTTGGAAATGTGATGGATAGTGGTTAGAAACTAGGTGTGAGGGAAAGGTATGGGAGGGCTCTCAATGAGCGTCAATTGAGTACTGAGCTCAAGGGCAGTGATAATCTCAACTGTGAGAGACAGGCTGACCTTTAGGTATAGTTTGTTATAGTTCAAGAGCTCTCATTTCATGGGTCCTAGATAGGGCTTCATACTCACACAAGATACCTCCCTCATCTACATATCTGTGCCTCTAATTCCTTTGAAAGAAGACAAATTCTTTTAATCCATAGTGAGAGATAAGGCTTCAAATGTAAATATCCACAGAAGGGGTAACACTCAGACATGAATTCACACCAAGGTGTAAGTATCTGATTTCCAGTACTTTCCTAGGAATAGGCTTTAACAATGATGCTGAAAAGGGATATTGATTATGCAAATTGTACCAAACATCAATTCTGTTCTCACACAGTCATCATCATTTCTATCATTTAAAGTAGGGCTAGCATTCTATAAAATTGTCTAGTGGCCCAGAGTGCATACTACACAATAATACCATCTGGGGCCATCTGACTTCTGCTTGAAGAGGAAACTCACTGCCTTACAAAGTGACCAGTTCTATTTTTGGGTAGTTAATTACTAGGAGGTTTTTCTTTATGTTGAACTGAGATTTACTACTTTGCAACTTCTACCCCATGCTCTGCATTCTGCCTTCTGCGACATTTACTAGAAAGCTTATTTTGTGCAGAATGAGTGATAGCTTAGTTCAAGTTGACCTCACTCAGGCATTAGAAGTGCCAACTTTGACACATACTCTCTGTAGAATGCTAGGCAAGTTAGTACCTCAGTTGATTCTCTAAGACTAAAATTACTGATTTTCACTGATGGCAAGGCTTTCCACAATGGAAGTTTCCTACACTGACAAAATCAAAGGTTCAGACCAAAAAAAAAAAAACAAACCAAAAAACAAATATGCAAGACATCTTTTGTGCTTGACCCTAGGACATGCAAAGACAACTAAAATCTGTCTTCTGCCTTCAAAGAATTTACACTTTAGTACTAGAAACAAGACAGGAATGGAAAATGACTATTACAAAGTAGACTTTGAAAAGTGACTACAAAGGGATCTGAAGAGGAAGAAATCACCTTCAGCTAGGGGAAATGTTTATTTAATTTGTTAATTTGGTTATGTCAGCATGGCCACTGATGAGAACTTAAGCTCTTTTAACTGAAATTTAGAGAGGTTAAAATTGCCTTCACAACAGATGAAGAAATCAAAGCTATCTGTAGGCATATGAAGAAGTGCTCTAAGTCACTTTTGATTAGAGAAATGCTAATTAAAACAACTCTGAGGTACCACCTCACAACTATCACATTGGCTAATGTGACAAAAATGGAAAATGATAAATGTTGGAGAAGATGAGGGAAGATTGGGACACTAATGCACTGTTGGTAGAGTTGAGAACTGATCCAACCATTGTGGAGAGCAATTTAGAACTACGCCCAAAGAGCAACCAACTGTGCATACTGTTTTATCCAGGAACACCACTGCTCAGCCATATCCCAAAGAGATCATAAAAAAGGGAGAAGGACGTAGATGTGCAAAAATATTTATAGCAGCTCTTACTGTAGTGGCAAAATGTTGGAAATCGAGAGGGTGCTCATCAGTTGGGGAATGGCTGAACAAACTGTGGTATATGAATGTAATGGAATACTATTGTGCTGCAAGAAATGATGAACAGGCAAATTTCAGAAAAACCTGGAAAAACTTGTATGAAGTGATGCAAAGTGAAATGAGCAGAACCAGGAAAACATCGTATACAGTATCAGCAACATTGTGTGATGATCAACTATGAATGACTTAGCTCTTCTCAACAGCACAATGATCCAAGACAAGTACAAAGGACTCATGAAGGAAAATGCTATCTGCATCCAGATAAAGAACCGATGGACTCTGAATGCAGATTGAAGCATACTTTCTTCACCTTATCCTTTTTTCGTGCTTTTTTTTTCTTTTGGTCTGTTTCTTCTTTCACAACTGCAACTAATATGGAAATATGTTTCACATCATAGCACACGTATAACCTATATCAAATTGTCTACCATTTTGGGAAGAAGGGAAGGGAGGAAGAAATATTTGGAACTCAAAATCTTGTAAAAATTAATGTAAAAATTGTCTTGACATGTAATTGGGAAAAAATGAAATACCATTTTAAAAAAAGATTGAACACAGCCAGGAAGCAATAAGCTATCAATCACACTTGAAAAAAAATACTTTCTCAAAGTCTTATTGCTAGTCAGGAGCTCTGAGAAAGCAGAAAAGGACCCCAAGGCCAAGAGTAGAGAGGTATTCCTGGGCTCCTGTGTGTGTGCTTTTGTGTTTTATATGTGTGTGTGTGTGTGTGTGTGTGTATATATATATATATATATACATATATATATACTTTCTTCAGATATTTGGTGTATATAAGAGAGCCCCTGCCCCCAAAATTTGGGGGTATTTTTGTAACTTCTCAGGAAATATTGCCTTTTCACAAATTTTGCCTTCTCAGGAAATATTGGTGAAGTGCATTGTATGGGGATTCAAGCAATAGTACTGGAAAGCACAACTCTTAGAACCCTGAGGGGAAAATGGGTTGTCACTCATACATAGGGTTATCAGGTATGAGGCAGAATCTCAGAGCTAGAGTCATTCTAGAGAAACAAGAAAATCAGAACAGAAGAGAAAAGAGATTTAATTTTCTGAAAACTGACAAAGTTCCAGCAAGTAAATCAGGTCAAATGCAAGCACAGAAAAGACCGGATTCTTTAATCAACAAGGATACTGAATAAGGAAGCTTTGTGGAACAATTGGCATCAAAATAATATTTTTGCTGTAGTATCATTATTTTGAAATGACCAGGTGGCACACTTAACCTGAATTCCAATCCTTATAGAAGCCCATTTAGGGCCGGGCTATGAAACAAGCTACTGACTTTCATAAAGATTATTGGTTTTCATAATAATAGTAGCATGATGTCTTGGTCAGGAAGCCAGTTGCAGAGTCAGGAAGAGTTGTGTTTAAGTCTTATGACACATACTGACTTGGTGACTCTGGGCAAGTTTCCAAAGGTATAAGCTACAGAACATGTGCCAATCTACATTGGCAAGAGAGTCTCCTCATATTGAGTTCTCAGTCAAATAACAGGTCTGGTTCTACCATTCCCCTCCCCCACTCACCAATAGTTCACATGTGCATAGCACTTCATATACACTAATGGATCTCAAATTTTATGGTCTCAGGAACCCTTTACACTCTTAAAAGTTATTAAGAACTCCCAAGAGCT